ACCGAGGGGGCGTTGACAACGGGAGGTGCTGCAACCGGGGCTACGGGGTGCTACCATGGCGACGCCTACCTCGCATGCATCGGAGCTCTGCCTACCTCGCTGGACCCGGCCACGCCGGAGCTGCAACCAGCCATGGCAGACTACACCCCACGGCGTTTTTTTGCTGGAACCGGTTGTAGCAAATTCAATCACCGGTGATAGCAAAAATTTACTACGGTTGCAGCAAAACGGCATCATCGTCACCGCGGGGTCGCAGCTGAGATAAAAAGTTTGAAGCTTTTTTTTAATGCGGTTGTAACTTTTTATAACTGCCGGTTGCAACTTTTTCATTTTTCGTCCATGGCTTTGTTTCCACGGTTGAAACTTTTTTTATAGTCGGATGAAGCTTTTTTCATTGCTAGATGAAGCTTTTTCTGTCACCGGTTGTAACTTTTCTTTGGTCATCCATAGCTCCAGTGGTATACTGGTTGAAGCTTTTTTTGTAGCCGGTTGAAGCTTTTCCTATCGCTAGTTGTATCTTTTTTCGTCGTAGGTTGCAGCACTGGGCATCGCTAGTTGTAGCTTTTTTCGTCGTAGGTTGCAGCACTGGGCATCTCCCTGTGCGCTTGATTTTTTTTGTCGCAAGCGGGGGATGAGCGCCGGCGAGCACACCGGTGAGCACGCCGGTGAGCTTCGGTCGTCGCCATCGGAGCTACAATGGTTTGCCACGGAGGCTACAACTGCATGGGTGGGCTATTGCATGGGCGAAGCTGGTGACGAGAACAGCCGCCGAGGGCTGGGACCGGCGACCAGGGCGGCCGGCGAAGACGAGCGGCGAGGGCGGCGATCAGAGACGGGGAGGGCAGGCGAGGGGGGCGGCGACGAGGGGGAAACGCGTGCGGCCGGCGAGACGGGGTTCCTTTTCCCGTCCGCGCTCACGAGAGGAAGAGGACGATCTGATTTGGATAAAGATCCAACGGATCGGGACGGGCCGATCTGACGGCTAGGGTTGGACCGGCCGAAGCGTTCGGCCGGTGCGCCGGCGCCTAGCATCGCCCTTAAGCAAAAGACTAGATCCATGAAGTCATGTGTCCCAAACAAAAAATACACCATGCAAATATGTAGGTGGTATACACAAAAGCTTTCTTTTCTAATGGGAAATTGTTGTTTCTAAGATAACAATATCCGTAGAGGATAGTGAATACGCAAAGTACTTCAAAAAAATATTTAGTTGTATGGAAACAAAGATACATACTAACGGTTTGTGGTTTCTTTTTTGCTCCCGGCGGGGCTCGAACCCGCGACCTTCGGCTCATAAGACCAACGCTCTAACCAACTGAGCTACGGCAGCTGACCGTCTATGAAATTTGGTTTCCTGTTTTTATATCGTTACTTATCTGTGCATGAAATTGACCGGGGAGCTGCTATATATATACCTAGCTAAATTGTACTCGTTCGTTCGTTGGTCTCGAAAAATGTTTAAAACAGAAAGGCATCTTTCCATAAACAAGAATACGCTAATATCAAACGGGAAATTAGTTTATTATAATCAAATCGGCTCTGCATCAACACGATGTTAAAAGCTACTGAATATGGATCGCAAGGATATATAACTTCAACGAACAATAACATCATTTTTCATTCTTTTTTTTTTGTAAGGGTGTTTTGTAAGCATCCGTGCTACTTAATACCCCCTTCGTTTCTAAATACTCCCTTCGTCCGGAAATACTTGTCATCAAAATGAATAACAGGGGATGTATCTAAATGTATTTTAGTTCTAGATGCATCCCTTTTTGTCAATTTTGATGACAAGTATTTTCAGACGGAGGGAGTATAAGTTTTTGATAGAGATTCCACTATGAACCACATACGGATGTATATAGATTTTAAAGTGTGGATTCACTTATTTTGCTTCGTATATAATCTATAGTGAAATCTCTACAAAGATTTGTATTTAGGAATGGAGGGAGTATATATGGATGTTAGCCTTTTGGGGAAACATAATAATATGTGATGGCAACCCAGAGTAAAAGGTTATGTGCTCCAACAACAATGTTTCCAGGAAGGGAACGGCCTGTGAGCATCACCGTCAGTGGACCCTACACTAAAGGTAGATGATAAATTTTTCACCCCAAATAGAAGTGAACATACTCTATGAAATGCCTTCAACAAAGAATACAACATGAACAGAGACATTGTGCGACTCAATCAATGAGCTCGTACATGGAGTTTTCACCCTTGGAACTCATGACCCTACACTCAAAGAGCACCCACGTAGCTGGAGTGCCCTATGATGCCACTACCTACTGGTTCATCATCGAACAGTCACACACACGCATAGTCCTAATGTGGACCTAGCCATGCAACTAGACAATTCCCGTGCAACACATGCCGATGATGATGAGCAACGCCTAGGGATGCCCGCCATCACCACTGATCCCCGTGTTGCCTAGAGTCCGGACCGCTCACACTAGTAGAAAAACACCTATTAGTCCCGGTTCGTAAGGGCCTTTAGTCCCGGTTCATGAACCGGGACTAATGGGTCGTTACTAATACCTCCACCCATTAGTCCCGGTTCAAACACGAACCGGGACCAATGTGCCTCCACGTGGCCCTGTGCGCCGAGCCCAGTCAGGGGGCCTTTGGTCCCGGTTGGTGGCTCCAACCGGGACCAAAAGGCATCCACGCGTCTGCATTCCAGTGGCTGGGGTTTTT